TGACCGGTTTCCGTGGCACTCGAAGCCTGTGCCTAGCCGTGGCTAGGATTGCAAGCTGAGATCTCGTGAAGTCCACAGCGCACGGTGCGCACAGCTCGACCGCTTTGCCACTGCTGTACGCCGACTGTTCGCTAAACCCACCGAGATGGTGTTGCGGGAATCCTGGAGGCGCCGACGGTGGCTGCCGATGAAGGTGACGGCCTCTTGAGCGGACGTCCACAGAGGCCACGCAGCAAGGACATTGCCTCGTGGTGCATGTGCCCGGTGGGCTGTCACGCCGCGGAAACGTGAGGGATGGCGATGGCATTGGGAGGAACTTCATCCAGCAGTGGATTGGTCATGGCTGACGATGTATGTATATTGAACTTCTTTCGCAACGTACGTAGCCGAACGCGCTCATCGGCGGTGCGGTGGAAGGATGACAAACTAAACACAAAAAGCGGTTCTGAAGAAAAAAATTATGCTGCTGATTTCCATGAATATCTACTGTATTGTAATGTAGAATTGCATTAATTGGTTAGTGAAATTCGGACATTGAATAAATATGTTGACTATAAACTCGGTGATATCTTGCTCAAAAAGCAACCTCCACGTGACGTTTTATTCACGGTGGATCAGATAGTGTGTCACAATCTGCACAAGAGCAGGCTTGGCGGGTACCCATGCCTATTTCCTCGGGAAGTCACTCCGACTCTTTTAAAGGCCTTTCCAGGAGGGTTCTGCCAAGATTTTTGCAGTCTGTGGCGAAGTTGGCACGTGCGATCCCAATCGAGCAACGGCTGAGGAGATGGAAGATGGGTTGGGAAATATTGGGTTGGTGTGGAGTGGGCCTGAACGATTTGGGGAAAATGTCTAATTGAGATTTTTCTGACTGATATTGCGATTAAAATTTTTTTAAAGTCAAGCTTCAATTCAGTATTCGCTGTGTAATAGATTTAAAACATGTGATGGAGCATTACCACTGATACCATCAAAACATGAACTATTCTATATATTGTAATGCAAGAATGAGAACTTTAAATATATTAATTGCTTCCAACATCTATTTATTAAAAAGTCTTAATTTAAATATAGCAATCAAACATAGGACAATAGTTAAGTGAAATAAATGAAGTTATAATAATGCAAAATAAAACAATTCCAATAGGAAAGTTATAGGAATTTTCAAATCGCAAAAAATCGAAGCCTTTGCGATTTGCTGATCGCATTGTTTCAAATTGCGATTTCGATTTGAAATCGATTCATCGTTCAGCCCTAGACTGTGGAGCTGCATGGGTGTCAACTCCACAAGTGAGCCACAACACCTCACGGATGTCATCAAGGAGCGTCAACACCATCACGCAAACTGCGGACATCCATCGCAGCAACAGCGGCGGCGACTTTTGGCTGCTGGACATTGAACAAAGGCAGCGGTCACCGCATCGCGCGTTCAGGTGCGCTTCGCCGGCCGTCTGGAACGCTCTTCCGTACGGTATTAGGAAGCCACTGGAGCTATGCACTTTTAAATAGTTTAGATTGAAAACTTATTTATTTATAACCGCTTATTGTGTTTCGTTTATTGTTCTTCCCCGCAACCTCCGATTAGCACGGTTGGCGACGTACGGTGCGAAAGAAGTTCAGCATACATAGAGCGCGTTGATCTGGGAGGGACCGTATCGCGCGGATCCTTGTAATCCGTGGTGCACCGCGGGTGTTTAGACCAGATTAACCCACGATGGGTTTCGTGCCCCGGTGTTCCGCGAATAATGGATTATCGGTCAATTCACGTTGATGCCACCGACTAGACGCGGAACCATACAGCTACAGAGAACATTGAATTGTTTTTACTTTACTGCCATTCTCATTGCCCCCGCAAGCCATACCCATATCACTCTGTGCATGCAGTCGCCCATTCCAGGCCAGTGCTGTGGTCGAGGCAGGATTCCCGTCTACAACAAATTAGGTATAAAAATTTAATTGGACATATGATGGGAAAGAATGTTCCACACAGTAACCCCGCCAGAGGAGGGGAGAATACGTACAGTGTACGGTAAATGCATTGTCCGCGGTGTTGCAATATTGTTTATTGCCAATATTGGTTACACATTATTGGCAATGACAAGAATTGCAGAGTTTCCGGGACAACGTCAACAGGAGGCCTCGTCTGTTGGGCAGCAGTGGACACACACGGTGGGGGGGTGGACTCGGTGGAGGGAGCGGGAGAGTCGGTGAACTGGGAGGTTTTTTTTTGGCTGAACTTGTGAGCTTGCAGTCGCTCCTACGCCTCGCATTGCATCACAAATCCACAAGGGCTGAGTCCAGAGTTGCGGTCACGCCGCGGTTTTGCGGGCGTCGTTGGGGGGGGGGGGGGTTGGTGACTTTGTCGTGGGTGCTGAGGGGTGTTGACAGTGCGGAGCGAACAAATCGAGTGGCGTCGTTAGGAAGAAGCGGGTCACACAGTGCCATCTCGTGACGACAGGCCCACCCTGCATCTACAACACCAAGACAAAGACCCCCCCCCCCCCCCTGCCCGGCCGCCTTTGTCTCCCCAGCGGCGATGTCGTTTACACACCGCACCAGGTACTCATTTGAGGCCGGTGTTGGTGGCCGTGAGCGGGAGTCGAACTCGTCTCGCCGGGGTTCGTAGCCCTAACCACTACCACGATGATGACGACACTGCCGCTTCCCCACGCGCACCGCATTCGCTTCACCGCTGCCTGCTCTGAAAGAGTGGAGAGCGTTTCCGCTTCCACCGATAATTATTTATCGGTGGCCAAGTAACAGAGTGATAGATTTATAGAGAGAAATGTATACAGCTCACATCGGTGTCCTGTTGCGGATTATAAAAAAAAAATTGAATTTTAAGTATTTATAATCACACGCACTGTTTTATATCTGGTCCTCCACACAAATTAAATCGCCGTACGTGTTTTCCTCCTACCGTATAAATACGCTGATTATAATACACCCCCATTCATCGTATATCATAGCTTCTTCACCCACACAAAAAAAAACAATCTGAAGTATTTATTTTACCCATCCCATCAGCCACACGAGAGTTATGTGAGTGCATGATTTCAGCAGCATTGGTTGAATACAAGAAAGCTGGACCGGTTTTGACATTTACTGCCTCATCAGCAGCGGTCGGGCTCGCTTGAACCAATGCTCGTGAACTGCCAGATGTCGACAGGCAAGGACCCCCCCCCCCCCGTCTGTTAGACCATGAGTCTTAGTTTGATTCAAAAAGTGTCAATTACACAACGATCGAAATTTTTTACAGTGACGACTCCATATCTGGCAGAGGAGAGTGTTAAATGATTGAGTAAGTGAGATTTGGTGAGAGGTTGGATGTTTTCTATATAATTTATCTTATTTTTGTGGAGTACGGCACCACGGTGGCAACATGTTAGTTACCTCGCCTGGTATACAGGAGGTCGTGGGTTCGACCCCCGAAGCCTGCTGCATATTTGGAGTTTCCATGTTCTCCCCGTGATCGCGTAGATCTTTCCCTCCACATTTAGAAACACGCCTTTTATTTGCACGCGAGTATTTGACTGCTATAAATTTCCAAACGATGAGCCACTTCGTTGAGCTATCACTTGTGGCCAGGTCGCTTCTGAAAAAGAGTTCAGTGGGCTTTACCTGGTAAGATAGAAAGTTTATCATGATATTTTGCAAGAGTTGCCAATTGCCTGGATTTTCCCCAGGATTGTCCCCTTGAGGTAGCTGGTATCCTGGGGTATCTGTAATTCTTCCCGTGGCATTAAAAGTCCACGCCTTTGTCAGTTGCAGAATAACAGTAGTAGGAATACATCACTCAGGACAATGAGATGTATTGTACACATAGTTGCTGTCCCTGTTTGCTGGTATTGTGAGATGTTCTTGTCTCCCCCTAATGTCTGTCCCGTTCTTTGGCACTTCAGAGGTGGCAACGGTTCTGCACAGTGCGTTAGAAAAAAAAACATTTTCTACGCCGTTTCATTCACATTTGCTGACTTTGGCCGAATGCCATTGTTGCTCTCAGATCCACTACAGATGTTGCGGATTCCAGAGGGTGGTGGGGAGGGGGGTCGAAAGGGGGGCCGGGGTGCTGGTGAAGTGAAAGCAGATGTGTGGCATCTGAATAATTTCACCTAAAAATAGCAAAACAATTACAGCCCCGTGTCCCCCCCCAAACCTCTTGCAGCAGTGCTGTACGTTTGCATACGCGAGGCTAATGGAGATGTGTGGCGGGGGGTGGGGGGGGGGCTAGATTTGGGGATCACATCGTGTGGACTGCTGCAGGAGAGCTTGCTCACCGTCGATTACCAAAGTTGGTAAGCGGTGAAGGTGCGACCCGTCACGTGGTGGGGTAAAGTGGCGGGAGCAACGACAGTGGATAGGAGCAACTCGTTTATAAAAGCAGTGCTTCCATCAAAGAAGAAAACATGTCATGGTGGGTTTTTAATTCCACGTGATATTTACATTGTATGACTGGTGGATTATTGTGGACTTAAAGCTGAACGTATTTACAATAGATAAGCTGAAGTACTGTATTTTGAATTATGAATTAAAAAAAAAACTGGAAATCGCTTAGCTCCGTAGGGCTTTTGGTTGGTCGACAAAGTTGCGGAGAAGACACGGACGCTCAACTTGGCAGCTTGTTTGAGCAATTTAACTTCAATTGCTTCTCTGCTCTCAACGGAAGCAGAGTTCCGACAAAGTCGAGGAGTAACTCCACCGAACCAATGAACGAACCCTCGGATCGACCCTCCGTTGCAGCTAACCTGCAGAACCTCGGACTGACTTGTTTGTGTAGATGGGTGCAGAAAGCCATTCCAGGTCAATGTGTGGCTCACAAAGATCGTTATTGGATTCTCCCACGCTCAATGCAGTGAGGTTCATGTAAGTAATACATTATAACGTCGCACATCCAACTGTCACGTTTTCTGGCCATATGAATATTTTGGCATTTGACTCGCAGGGTCCACGCAAACAGACGTTGAATGATTCATCTTTACCCGTGGTCTACTGTGTTGCAGGATGGAGCTCTTGATCTTCTTAAGGAGCTGCAGGCGATACCCATGACACTGGGCATCCTAAAAGTGAGTTGGACTGCTTCTATCACAAAGCTGGAAGATATTTCTTTATTGGCTGCCAGTAGTGTCAGGATGCTTTTCCCTTGAGCAATTTGAGTTCCCCTTCTTTGGCAGATGACGCGAGTGGGAATGCTCGTGAACTCTCTAAGAAAACTCACGAAGGATGAGGAGGTGATTTCTATTTCCAAGATCCTCATAAAGACCTGGAAAAAGTTACTTGGTGAGTGACCAAGCTTTCCAGCCGTTCATTCTCACTCCCAGCTAAGTGATCGTGCATAATTTCTCCCCTTTGAGGGTTTTATTATTTGACACCCGCACCCCTGGCAATTTGAAATGTCACATTGCAAAGCGATAATTAAATTGAACAACCATAATACAGGTTTTTTGGGTTCGATCGCATAAATATATATTAAATATCGCGTAAATATATATTTGAAATTTATAAATATATATCAAATATATATTTACGCAAGTTAACCCCCAAAAACTGTATTATGGACGATATTGGTCACGAAAGCCTACGTGTTCAACTAAATCAAAAGTATATACATATTTTGGGATAGAGTAGCGCCTCTCACGGCTGCTGGACCTATGACATGCAATAGTCACACATTTTAAAACGTATCAGTTTCTTATGCACACAATTCAATGCGTACATCATGGGGGCAACGTTAAATACATGTGTCCTGTACGTGTGTGTTTTTGGTTTCTTGCACTGTGTGTGTTTGACCTCTTAGGGGTCGATCAGATGAAGAGGAGGAGCTCGCAGGATTCCTCCTCCTCCAGTCCGACCTATTCCCCGGTGGAAATGCCTGAGGGCAGGTAGCCTCCCACTTTCTCGCTTCTGTTTCCTTGCTGATGTTTTCGGCGGGGCCTGCGTGAAACTCTTGGGGGTGCGAGCAAAAGTTCAAGCCGGCTTCGCCTTTGCAGTGTTGCCGAGTTCTTTTGCAGTGTTTTGAGCTGGGAAACACCAATGCTGTTTACAAAAAATAACAAAGGGTGGTACTTAGAAGCTCTCCGCGTGTTTGTTTTTTGGGGTGGCGACGCATTTTGTTTTGAAACGTCAGATTTTTCACTGCGAACGCTACGAACTTCTTCACGAGTTGGATGTTCAGTTCCTGAAACTCGCTCACAGCACGTGGAGCAAAACGTTGGACACCGTGCTGATGAACGGCACAGTACAACCCCAAAAACACACCGGAGAGCTGTACAGCACAACCACGGAAACCTACACAAATTATAACTTTTACAAAGAGCACCAATGATTGCAACCATGCAGTCTGCTATATTGGGTTATCACATAATCAGAACGAGGTTAGAGCCAGGGATTCATTTAAGCAGGATCTGTCCAGGTTAGCGACATGGAAAACATTTTAAACTAAACTATTTTAAAAGTTTCGATTTAAAGCTTTCGTGACTGCAATGATTCATCTTCTTTGGTTCTTTCGGTAAAGTCATGTCTCGTCCCTTCACCTGATGAAGGCCGCTTGTGTTGTGGCCGAAACGTCGTGAGAATATTATTGTGTTATTTTATTTTATCAATTTATTATTTTATTCTCATTCTACGTGACTTTACCGAAAGAACCAAAGAAGATATTTAAAAAGTATATTTTAATAGGTAAGGCCCCCTGAGCTATGTAGAACTTTTTTCAGAAGTGACTTGTCCATAAATGACAGCTCAATGAAGCGGATTATCACGTGGATATTTAGAGCAGCAGCCAACATACTCTGAACGCGTGACGTTGATTCTAAAATGTGGAGGGAAAAACCGGAAGACCCGGAGAAAAATCCACGCGACCACGGGGAGAGAGACACGCAGACTCCAAATACTCAGCGGGCGTCAGGGTCGGGATCGAACGCACGTTCCGCTGCTGCGGCTACTCGCCAAACGGCTACTTCAGTCTAACAGCGACCCAGTAAATTATTCGGTGAGAAAAGAAAACGCTGGTTCGACCGTTTTTTCTAAACGGGGAGTCATGTCAGTGGTTAAAATTTGCGGCGAGTATCTGTCCACCACTTTGGTATTCAGGCAATGCTCTGGTGCCGAAATGAGTAGGAACAATGCGGGAATATTCAGCAATTACGCAGTACGAACTACTACTGTGTGATAAAGCCCCTCAGAAGTGTGGCGCAGTTCATGCCGCCAACTTCCTGTGCAGAAATTAACACGTGCGCTGCAATCCAAGCAATATAGTTCAGTAATTAGCACGCGTATTATAGCACGTGAAGTACAGTGCAGCAATTAACTAGGGTTGCGACCGGTCCTGATTTGCCCAGCATGATCCTCTTTTTTTGAGGTTGCTGTCCTGGGAAATCGGTGAATCTTCCCGGGACATTGATTAAGAGTCCCGGGTGTTTTGTCAGTTGCGGGACAATACGCCACTCGAGTATGATGCGTTTGGATGTAGTTCTCCACTCTTCCGCGACGGTGAGATATTCTTATTGCCGCGGGATCTGTTGAGCCTTGGAGATGTGGCAACCCGATAATTAAACACGTCTGTAGCAACAACGTGTGCAATGCAGTGCAACCGATGTACGTGTACGTACGTGTAACATGTCCCACCGTGTTGACCGCTATTATCGCTCTGCTCATGGCAGTAATTCTGGGCCCGAAGGCAAACACTGCGAGAGAGGAGGGGGAGGTGACAGGAGGCGTGCGGAGACCAAACCGCCCAGCACGCCCAGCACGCCCAGCACGCCCACCACGCCCACCAGCCCCAGCGCTCCTGGAACCCCGAGGTCGCCCGCGTTTCCATCGGCGGGCACCTCCAGCGAGGTTGTGCGGGAAAAGTGCCGGGAAATGCTGGCAGCTGCACTAAAGACCAATGGTGAGACTGTCGTAGAAATAAATAAATGAAGGCTACGTGATTTCCATGCTCACATGAGCACCGAGGCTCCGCTCCTGTTTATAGCCATGACCCATTGGTGAAAATTGCATATTATTATTGTGGGGGAGGGGGGGGGGAATGTATCGACAGGACAATCAGTGTTAATTTAACCAAAACAGCAGTACTCATTTTATTGACACCATTGGGATTGTGAGCGAAGTCAACCTTCCGATTGGGAGCTGCTCGCTCCGCTGTCGAGTCACCTGGCCGTGGATAATGGTGGGCAGCAGTAGTACAATAAAGAGATCAACAGGTGGCCAATGTTGGTGATGCCACCATTGCTTACTCCCTTGTGCCAGGTCCCTCAGTTGCTTTTTTAATGTTTTGTCTTTACCCCCAACATTATCCCGATTGTGAAGCAGACATCGCAGACCCACTTCTTAGACCCCCCCCTTCAAGTAACCTCTGGTTAAGACGGTAGAGGGCAGCACTTCCACACATGCCCTCCCGGAGAGATATGTTCGTCATGTAAAAGTTAAAGCAATAATATATTTTATTGTTAAAGATGGAATTCAGCCAAGTGCAGATCCAAATGTAACGTGATGGATTTTATTTGAGCAGTGATTATGGCCAGGCTGTAACCATTTATATTTAATTACAGGTGACTAAAACCTGGACTCAAACCCAGGATCTCAGCGGAAACAGCTCAGCACTCTGACCTCTGAGCTATGTGACCACCTCCAGATCCCAGATCCTAGAGTTGTTAAAAAGTTTACACCAGGCCTTTGAGATCAGCTTTGACATCCTACCCCTCTGGCTTTTAGTCTCTCCTTTAGTGGCTATCCTCTGTGTACCAATCCATTGCCTGTCTCTAACCTGCCCGCCTATCATTATGCACACGTCCTGCTCATTATAACCTAATCTTCCCGATTACATCTGCAAGACTATCATTGTCCAATTAAAGTTATCCCCTTGGTCACCAACCTCAGTTTGGCCTGATCTTATCCGTCAATATTGCTGATGCGGCGTGTATGGTTAGGAATAATATACAAGTGTATTCTTGGTTCTTTCGGTAAAGTCACGTTGAAGGGAAACAATAAAATAATAAAATATATATATAAAACAAGAAAATTCTCACGACGTTTCGACTGTAACACAAACAGTCATCATCAGGTGTGATGATGATTGCTTGTGTTACAGTCAAAACGTCAGGTGTGATGATGACTGTTTGTGTTACAGTCGAAACGTCGTGAGAATTGTATTGTTTTATATATATTTTATTATTTTATTGTTTCCCTTCAACGTGACTTTACCGAAAGAACCAAGAATACACTTGTATATTATTCCTAACCATACACGCCGCATCAGCAATATTGACGGATAAAATCAGGCCAAACTGAGGTTGGTGACCAAGGGGATAACTTTAACACAAACAGTCATCATAACACCTGATGATGACTGTTTGTGTTACAGTCGAAACGTCGTGAGAATTTTATTGTTTTATATATATATATTTTATTATTTATTGTTTCCCTTCAACGTGACTTTACCGAAAGAACTAAGAATATGAATCACTGCAGTCACGAAAGCTTGAAATCAAAATGTACAAGTGGTTTATACTATGCTTTCAATAAATAAAAAAACCAACCCCTTAGAGCCATACTCCAAATGATGCCAATAATGCAAAATGAAAACAGTGACCGAGTTTTTTCCTGGAGTCATCGCTGGATATTGCTGACGTGGTAAATGTTCTTCTGCAGCTCCACTGATGCAAACATGATCTTGCAGCATTGAAGACTTTTGTTTTTGGGGGGGGGGGACAAAGTGATTGATGCCAGATATTAAACTTCGATACACTTCAACGGGCAAGGCCACGAGTTTACGAACAGGGTGGATTCTGCTTACAACATTTCGACAAACAACATTTTTTTCCTTGCTGGCAAAATATACATTTCAGATGTGTCCCTCACAAAACGCTCAAACAGTTTATGTTATTAATACGAATGTTTGTAAGAATGCGTTTTCATTATTTGCAGATGACTACGTGAAATATGCGGCGAACTGCGAGCTGATTGGGGCACAAATTGAAGACTGTATCCTTTTTGGCAGTCCGCATCGTTGTGCTTTCACAGTTTTGGTTTAGAACGTCTACATGAGAGATGCTATCGAGGGTGTAATGTTGAGCCCACTGGACTTTTTTTCGCACCATATGTAGCCCACCGTGCTAATCAGAGGTGCGGGGGAAGGACAACAAACTGAACAGAGTTGAAACAGTGGTGCAAGTTTCTTAAAATTTCCCCTGCCGCCTCCGTCCACTAAACAGTATAAATCGCGGCACTATGGTTAGTCTATCGGCGTAAGAGTTGGTTAAAATCGATGAATTGTTACAAACCTACAAAACGGTTACAGTCAAGGATGACTTGGGCAAGAAGACATTACAGCCACTGATGGGGCAGTATGTAAATTAAATGTAATTCTAACATGTAATTTCACTACATTTGTAACTTGGAATTGGATTATATAAATTGCACATCACATTTGTATCTAAATTGCATTCCTCTCGTAATTTATGATTAAAAGTTACGCACGTTTTTTTTTTCCCGTCCTGATTACAACAGCATATCTGGCCTGGTGGCTCAGCGCTAGAGAAAAGTGGCTCACACTCTGGAAGGGTGAGAGTTCAAATCCTGATTGGTGGTTTGTTTCAGCCCATCATCACCTTGGGGTCGATAAATGAAAGCGCCACTGTGGAGAAATCAACATTGTGGTTGTCTTACAAATAGACTCAACCCGCCATAAGAATGTGGAATTTTCATCCCTGGCTCCGGGCTGTAAAGAGGAGATGAGCACCAGCTCTATGCCCTATTTGAGTAGGAAATCATGTTTTGATTCACGCAGCAGAGGGGAGGAGGGTGGCATAGGAGCTCAGTGACTCTCGAATCACATTTGCAGTGTTTTTTTTTCCGCTGACGTGAGAATCGGCCAGCAATCTTCCAGGAGCTGCCTGCCGTGGATCAGAAGTACAAGAACCGCGTGCGCAGTCGCATTTCCAACCTCAAGGACCCCAAAAACCCGAACCTCCGCATCAGCGTGCTGACCGGGGCTATTTCTGCGAGCTGCATGGCCAAAATGACAGCGGAGGTTTGGAAGTTTGTTATCGCGTCATCGGATTTGTAATGGCCGGATATGCGATGTAGTACCGTACACACATATGTATTTATTAAAAAAAAACTCTCATTTGAGCGGAAGCTTTTAAAATCTCTTCTTTGCTCTGGTGGTCAGCGTGGAACAGATGCCTGGAGAGTTAGGTGCCCTGTTTCCCATCCTGGAGCTGATCTGGACTCCGTTAACCACAGGAAAAAACAATGCGCAGCTCTGCTCTGTTCAAAGCGGGGGGTGGGGAAGAAAATTCCCCAACAGAAACTGTGCTGGAGTTCACGTTCATATCATTAAACAGCCACCCAAGAATTGCGTTTGGTTGACCGTTTTTGACAAAACAGGTTTTTTTTTATTCTGCCAAACTATCGCAGCAGCAACAGGAGCCAAACAGCTACGTCGGCACCAGCGCTGCCACCAGTGGTCAAGGTTACTTTGTTGCGGAAATTGTTGTTACGTACCACAGAGCAGTGGCAGCTAGATGTAGGTCAAACGGGAGGGTAGCGTTCAATTCAGTGCGAGCTTATTTTTTTACACACGAGAGTGCGTAGGATTTCACAGTTAGCGCTGTACGGGCGTTCAACGCGTGTTTCGGGTTGTTACCGCGTGTTTCTGGGCACGACGTCCAACATGTTGCCCGACGTGCTCGGAGTCTACATTTCCTGAAGAAGAAGAAGAAGAACCTTCAGTTCCCGACGAAGCTCACAAGCGCGTGAAGCGAAACGCCGAACATCACGCCGAGCCGAACCAACGCACGCGGTATAACCGAAAACACGTCAAAGAGCTGTTTTACATTGTCTATAAAATCAGTTTCTCCGCCGACCCTTGGCAACGCGTTTGTAAATGCGGATGAAAAAAAAAATACATCAAAAACGAACGTTCGCATGGCTGGATTTGCATTGCTTTTGATGCGCTCGATGCGTATTGTTGCCTCACGTGCATTTACATCTCCAGTGACCATATACGAGACTATACGAGTACCACCACCGGCCACCCGTTCCCTTCCCCTTTGTGGCGATGCTCACGCTTCCCATTAGCTGAAACTTGGCTTGGCCTTTGTACTCGCAGGAGATGGCGAGTGACGAGCTGAGGGAAAAGCGCAAGGCCATGACGGAGGAGGCCATCCGTGCGCACCAGATGGCCAAGACGGGCGGCACGGAGACTGACCTGTTCAGCTGCGGAAAATGCAGGAAGAAAAGATGCACCTACACTCAAGTGAGTGGCCACTTGTTCTTCAGCGGTGTCCTGTCCCTCAATTTACACGTGTACGTATACATTGAGGGACAGCACCTTTAGCCACGAAGCGGTTTTCTCGTCTGGTCATACTTCCCCAAGCCGGTCATTGCGGTTTGGTGACAGCAGCGAGAGAAAGTCCAAGACCGATTCAGATGCCACTCGCCACTGATGTCAGCTGCGGCCTGGAATCGAACTTCATAGCGCAGTGCGCTAATCACTGCGCAACCGCTCTGCCCGTCGCAGTAGCGATTGCTCGTTGCGGTACAAGGCCTTTCAGCCGCTCAAGAAGGGAGCTCTACAGAGAGACTCCTGGTCTAGACTAGGGTGTGCAGCATTGGCCTACACTTCCGCGTTGGCCAGACGTCCTTTTGGGCGTACCTACACTCTACTCGACCAGCCGATGCAACTATGTACGTTGGACTTCTTTCGCACCTTACGTAGCCAACCGTGCTAATCGAAGGTGCGGGGGAAGGACAGCAAACTAAATGAAAAAATCAGTTTAATATAGTTTTTAAAGTTGCTTCCTAATATTGGAACAGCATTCCAGATGGCCGCAGAAGCACATCTGAAAGTGCGTGATGAGGTGACCGTCTTTGTTCGATGGCCAGCCAAGAGCGGCTGCGAGGACGACCGCAGTTTGCGTGATGGTTTATGCTCCTTGTCATACAACCGAGCATCGAATCGGGCCCCAGGATGGTGTGCGAATTGATGGTGTGCCCAGAACTATGAGTTACATACCGCATTGGGCAATTGTGTTAAGGTTGAGTAAATCTAATAGAGCCTAGGACAGGTCAATGTATCATGTACAACTATCCATGGCCAGGAATCGAACTTGGGTGGCCTGGTTAACAGCGCAGTACATTAACCAGTGTTCACCATTCGTGAAAAATTACCACCCTGTTTCCACTCGCATCTGATGCACAGCAAGTGCAGCACTTGAAAATGGGAATCGTGAATGGGTCGTACCGCATATTGTTCGACACAATGTCAGACGTTTCACTCCACATGCTCGGAGCTTCTCCAGGAACCAATTGGAGCAGCCCGCTTTGTTTCTCGGAGAGCTATACAGAACAACAGCGATGACTTACGCAGCCGGTATCGTGAATTGTCGCGTTGTCGGTTTTTCTGTCGTATTTCAGGTGCAGACCCGAAGCGCAGATGAGCCCATGACCACGTTCGTCTTTTGCAACGAGTGCGGGAACCGATGGAAGGCAAGTTTTGCCACCGTGTTGATAGTTGCTACTCACACAGACATCGCAACAATGCAGAGTTATCGTAGGGTGCCCATTCACGTGCTGCTGCTGCTGCTGCTTCTATTGAAACCTTACATCGTAGTCTATTCCTTGGCATACTTTACCACTGCCAACGTGTGCCGATGATAGTTCTACAGGCAAAGAACAGAAGTACCTTTCAAACTCCCATTAACCGCACTTTGCACAAACCCTTGATGCCTTCCTCTAGCACACGAACAGTTGAATGCTTTATATATTTTAAAATAAATACCCTCTGGGAATGTTATGCTTTTCACCAATTGCTCATGTAACTCTAACATCCCATTGACTTATATAACCTTTTTTTCGGACTTTGTCCAAAACCATCAAATTTGCACGTCAATTTGTCTTGTATATTCGGTACATTTGCTCAAGAGGTGGTACTAACTTTATCAATACAATCAAGGCACCTTACCACCATACGCTTTTCTGTCAGATTAACAAAGTTAACATTGAATTGACCAGATCATTAATAGTTGTATTTTAAAAACAAAACAAAAACCTTGTGGTTTTAACTGTACCTTTACGCAACGTAGTTTTGAGTGTTTGCATCTCACTGTGATGACAAACCCCGGCAGTAGTTGTCATGCTCATGGATATAGTAAGCAGGAAGTGATCACTGACCTTGGTTGGCTGCAATTGAAGCAGACTAAACAGTCGCCCTTAGCTTAATTGCCACGTGTGCTTTGTTGTTGAGAATCGAGAGCATGCATCCGTTTTCCAGTTGCACATGTCCACACACACATGCATGCAGGCATCTCTAACTATTTCTAACCAACACTATGCTTTCTAGGTGTTGTGTGATGCACGCTTACTAAAATATGCCACGTAAGATGTCGGTTTCTTTCTGTATTTACTCATATCCTCTATTTCCCCAGTTCTGCTAAAGAAGATTCAAGCACTTCAGTTTTTATGAAAAAATACTTCTAACTTCTCTTGCCTTAAATGCTTTTAAACAAGACAAAGGAATGTTTAAAAATGGTTTATATATTTAAAAAAATAATGGCATAGATTTTTGTTTTATAACGTCAGCTTAATTCTAATTGACATGTTAAATTTCATTGGAATTATTTTAAACCTTAAGTAAATGATAAATAATGAGCTGGTAAACCAATGTGTGTGCCTTTTCCTTTTTATATTGCACTTGTGGTACGAGGGATACGTTGACTTGCGTTGTTTTATGGAAAGACCGAGTGTTGCACGGTGGTTCATAAAAAATGAATTAACATCCACTTGAGTAAGTGCAACTTTAAGACAACACCGAAAAATTCGCTTCACATAGCGAGACTCAGCTGAGATGTCACTTACTCAAAAAAAAAACACACTTTAAACCTTCCACCATGGGCCAAAACTTTTACAACATCCCATTACCTTTTTTTTGTCGTTTTACTCGATAACAATTCCCATCACGCCCCATCCAACCTTTACTTCAGCACCCAGTTTTAATGCTGAACTTATTTAAAAAAAAAAACTACTAAGGGAAATGACGTGGCTTTTCTTAATTGCCGGTCTCGCCGGCGCTACGGCAGCATCCCCATCAAGTGTGGAGGTCGCGAGAGTGAGGTTCCCGCTGCAAGCCCTGGTGGCGGGCATCGCTGCAACAAATGTCGCCATACCCGAGCACTCCACTCGAAGCGGCAAAAAAGTTCGTTCGCGAATTTAGTGCTCGAGATATATTTGGCAAAAAAAGGGGTTTTATATTTATTTTAGTCAACTGTAACTATGGGTGGATGGAGTGTTCAAGCATGATGATGATGATTGCGACGATCCACCAGACCCCAAAGCATGGCGATGACGAAACGGAATTGACTACAGTGCTGTAGACTGAATAAAGATGCAGACTACGCTAATTTGTTATGAGAGACGGCAGTGCATGAGGGAAGACCAAACATGGTCATTTGCTATACAGTATATATAATAATTTACCGAGTTCACTCATTGGCTGACCTAATGGAAGAATGGGGTGGGTATTGCATGCCCCTCATGCCACCATTTAATAGCCAAGAGTGGACTAGATTTTCTACTGGGTTAGTGAACTAGTCTAAAGAGTATGATTCAGTGAGATATACAGCAGTATTAAAATCCACAGGTTGTCAACACGGCTTTGACGGCTTCATCTGGGGGCAGCTGTCCTTTCCATGTAAAAACACTTTTTTAGTCTGCGTTCGAGAATTTTACTTAAAAATATTGTTTCCATCGAGCACTTATGCCACTGGCCCTCAAGTAACGTCACAACTCCTATCTGTTGCACCTTCAATAGTGCTGTTTGTTGATGGCCACGTTGGCGTTTTTGCCCTTCGTGCACAAGCTTATCGACCGTGATTAAAAATAATCAAGCAAAGATTAAACGTCTGAAATGCGATTTTTGTAAAACCCCACAGGCACACAGAGTGATATTCATTTAAACTGTATTTTAACAAAAATATACAGAACATAAATACGTGTAATTGCTTGCAATAAAAATAAATAGAACATCCTCAGTGCCACTGTTCTGGTTCAGAGAGCATTCAATACTCTGATGCTGATGACCCATTTACCGCAATGGGCGCGATTGGATTGTCATTGATAAATGCAACCTAACAACACAAACAAATCGCAAACAAGCGCACGTAAAATGCACAAAAATACAACACGTTGAAATGCATGCAATTTGCTTTTGGGGTTCGCCTGAAATGTAAATTAGTTGCCTGTGTCTCGTGGACATATAAGGGTAATTTTAGTCATTTGTGTCTTTGGGAAATTCCAATGGAAAACAATTTAACATTTTTTGCACATTGTACAAAGTGTTTGTCGTATTTGTTGTGCTTTGATTTACATTGCAAATATGAAAACATGGCGTATTGTAAAGCAGCTAGTGTGGTAAAAAAGAGGTACTATTTGGGAGTTATTTGGAACCCTGCACCATGTTGATAGGAGCGACAATTTAGTCATTTTCTCAGCACCAATACGTCTTTAATGCACAATTAAAATATTCGCGTATCTACGCGAACCTAAAGGCAGTACCTAAAAACACCAGTACGCAACCACAAATTAGAGGAACCAGCCTGATGTGGCATGTCCTGTAAGAAGGTACAACGCCACATTGTAAGGGTTGCCGAGCATGTATAGCCCTCGTCGTGTTAGCCCTAGATGTGGGGCCAATTAATGGGGCACTACAAAAAACGGAATGTGGGGGGGGGGGGGGGGAGGGATTGCCCCCTATTTCAATAGCAATTGCTTTCAAGCTTTGAGTTTGTACTTGTAGTGTGGGGTTCCAATGGGTTCCCAATCCTAGCAGCTGTCTCGTTACTTACATTTAAAAAGGCATACATGCCACAGCACATTGACATACTATTTTACCGTAGACCAGTACTCATATAAATAACATTCACAGTAACCGTTTAAAAAAAAATTCATAAAAGGAAAACGCCAATATTAGACATGTTTAAACATTCCATTTTGTAACAACATTTTTTTTGTTTTGGCTCATTTCAGCACACTACATAAAATCAAAACTGAACTTTGAAAATATCATTTTTTTCTCATTTATTGGCAATGCATGAAGTGAGGGGGGTGTCAGCAGGCACTCTTAAAGCCCAAGCAAAATGGCAGCAGTTTAATCAACTGGTCACTCAGCCTACGTGTTCAACATTTTCTTGAGACACAAATAACTTGTTCAAGAACTTCTAAATAAATAAGACCTGGATTTTTCAGATCAAGTACAAAAAAAACCCCACAAAACACAAAAGTCGACAATAGTGGCTAAAATAAAGCTTAAATTGGCAATTCAAAATACTGTATAGAAGCAAGTGTGTGTGTTACATTATTATTACGTGATAACGTGGACCGCTTATTTAAATATAAAGACTTAATCATTTTATTAACTGATACATCACCCTCAAGTATGATATGGTGCAAATGAATTGTGCCATACATACATTTAGTAAACTGCCAACAGCAAATAACAAGACAGACTTTCTGTCCAACTATGTACATAACCTGTCTAAGGCCCCCTTGATAATCTAAATGTTAAAAAGTTTAAAATTTTGGACAGTTTGTATAGGCCAAGCAAGTAATTGTCTTGAACATTATTTTCATATTGCAAGATGCCTCAAAAATCCACGTAAAAAATAAAAGCATGTGGATGAAAAACAAAGTGTAATTGATTGGAAGGAGTTGTTTTCTTTTCTTATGCAACGCATAAAAGTTCTCCGCACTCTTTACAAGTTCTATAAGTGCCGAAGTTAGAGCTATTCATAAAAATCGTACGACGGGAATCTGTGATCATTCCAAAAAAAAAAAACCCTATGAAGTGAAGCATCAACATCGAGTCCAAACTGAGGTACAAACAGGTCCCAAAGACCTCGGGTAAGTTTGTGGTAGACGCCAAGTAGGCAGGCAAAATACATCTCTCTCGTGACGACGACGGCGGCGGCGGCGGCGGCGGCGGCGGCTGTGCTGATGAAGTGCTGACGCAGGCCACGGGCTATGTGTTGGAGGAAGAGCTGGAGAGACTCTGCAAGAGCGCCGAGTAGACGGACGAGCCAAGGAAGCGTGGGTACGAGTCTCGGTGCATGAGCGTGTAGATCTGCAGCTGTGCGTCGTCAAACGTGTGCGCCGAGGGCTCCACCATGTTCCTGTTGATGACCTCTCGCACCCGCGAGTCCAGGCTGACCTGCAACCCGCACGCACGCAGCACTCGCGTAAATGTATTCCTCGGGGAAACGATCCGTCCATTCAAACATTTTTTTTTTTACGATATTTATTTTTGTTTTCCCAGTTTTTAAACAAATTGTGCCATTGGATGTGTGTCATGAGACGGATAATCCATTTGGATCTCTTCGCAGAGCAGTTCAAATCGTGTTAGAGAATTGACATGGCGCACAGAAGTGGATATCACAGAGCTACATCTGGGATCCACACAGAAACACTTTCCTACCTCTGCGTGGGAAAGTGTTTGCAAACAAACATGCTTTAAAAATGTATGCATTGTCTTTGAAAATGATTAGCCTAGCCAGAGACAGCCTCCGTTATGGCCTTCTCTCTCACCAGTGTTTCATTGTCCATGTGCTGTTCACCTTTTGGCATGATTTACCACAAGCATGTTTTGTTAGATCCAGACTTGACGCCTGATGTCTATTTTGTGTTTGACGCCTGATAGATGTCTATTTTGTGTTTGAACATCTTAACATCTGTATTCTTGCCAAAAAGCGGAAAGCCAATTTTTTTTGTATCATATTGTGCATGTTTTCGCGGTTGTGCAGTACAACTCTCCAACGTGTTTTTAGGCTGTGCCACACGATGTCCGTCATCGCTCCATGTGCTGGTAACTTTTCCAAGAACTGAATTGGGCAGATTTCTATATCCTGCTATCTCTTCAAATACGGGTTTTCCTCGCTCTGTGCGTTAGCAGTAGATGCGTTCCGAGAAAGAGAGCGCACAAGGCGAAACCGCACGAGGCGGCTGCCTGCCGAGTCACGTGTATAGTACACAAAGTGTGTCCCACGTCCGCACATGAGCGAGTTCGAACCGCAGGTAGCGAATTTTGGGCAGAAACAGGTTTGGCCGCGTTTCCAGCGCAAAACCTCCATTCGCCAAGGGTGTGAGAACGAGGTGCAAAGGCCAGGGCAGTGGCTCACCTCTTTGGGCGAGAGGATGGAAATGTAGTCTTCGTATATTGTCCTGGCCTTCTCCTCTACAATGTTCTTGTTCTCCTCCTTCTTGAGGTCTTCACAGGCGAGCCAGAAGAGCAGGTTCTCCTCGCTGAACTCCGTTCGGAGAAACTCTCTGAACACGGCACGCCCCGCTGCACTGTGCATGAGTCGTTCAAAGCAATGGCTCCACGATGTGACCTCCTCCAGGGACAGCTTCCCGCTGCAGGTCCCCGGCATGAACGCACAACCACACAGAGCCACAGTCAGAAATTCTTCCCCCCCCCGCCACCGCCACCGCCACCACAACTTTCATTTCACAAAGCTTTGATGTGGAAATAATCCATGACATAGCGCTGTGAGAAATACGTGTTACCTTCGAGTACGAAATACATTGGCTTACTCGCAGACAATGAAATTGAATGGCTAAAACTCGCAACTGAATATATCATTGTTACTCCTACATAAGCCGTGCAAAGAGGTAGGAAGGATAATGCTACGGCTTTAGGTTATTGTGGCTGTGTGGTATAGCTCTGCTGTGTGTGTGTTTTTATTGTGATGCGTGCTTTTCGGCACGATGTCAGTTCCTGAAGAAGCCGAACAACACGTATAAAGCGAAAACACTGGACAGCGAGATAATAAAAATATATCTACGGATTAGAAATGAGTTGGATCACAGTTTCAGACACAAATTGCCCAACTTCTTGGCCCACCGCTATATCTGTGCCACGAGTATGGGGGATGGCTGGTTGGATGCTGGAGCATGCAGATTTGTATAATGATACAACATTACAGTGGTGACCATATGCACATTCGACACGTACAGTGAGGGAAAAAAGTATTTGATCCCCTGCTGATTTTGTACGTTTGCCCACTGACAAAGAAATTATCAGTCTATAATTTTAATGGTAGGTTTATTTGAACAGTGAGAGAGAATAACAACAAAATCCAGAAAAACGCATGTCAAAAATGTTATAAATTGATTTGCATTTTAATGAGGGAAATAAGTATTTGACCCCTCTGCAAAACATGACTTAGTACTTGGTGGCAAAACCCTTGTTGGCAATCACAGAGGTCAGACGTTTCTTGTAGTTGGCCACCAGGTTTGCACACATCTCAGGAGGGATTTTGTCCCACTCCTCTTTGCAGATCTTCTCCAAGTCATTAAGGTTTTGAGGCTGGCGTTTGGCAACTCGAACCTTCAGCTCCCTCCACAGATTTTCTATGGGATTAAGGTCTGGAGACTGGCTAGGCCACTCCAGGACCTTAATATGCTTCTTCTTGAGCCACTCCTTTGTTGCCTTGGCCGTGTGTTTTGGGTCATTGTCATGCTGGAATACCCATCCACAACCCATTTTCCATGCCCTGGCTGAGGGAAGGAGGTTCTCACCCAAGATTTGACGGTACATGGCCCCGTCCATCGTTCCTTTGATGCGGTTAAGTTGTCCTGTCCCCTTAGCAGAAAAAACACCCCCAAAGCATAATGTTTCCACCTCCATGGTTGACGGTGGGGATGGTGTTCTTGGGGTCATAGGCAGCATTTCTCCTCCTCCAAACACGGCGAGTTGAGTTGATGCCAAAGACCTCCATTTTGGTTTCATCTGACCACAACACTTTCACCTAGTTGTCCTCTGAATCATTCAGATGTTCATTGGCAAACTTCAGACGGGCATGTATATGTGCTTTCTTGAGCAGGGGGATCTTGCGGGCTCTGCAGGATTTCAGTCCTTCATGGCGTAGTGTGTTACCAGTTGTTTTCTTGGTGACTATGGTCCCAGCTGCCTTGAGATCATTGACAAGATCCTCCCGTGTAGTTCTGGGCTGATTCCTCACCGTTCTCATGATCATTGCAACTCCACGAGGTGAGATCTTGCATGGAGCCCCAGGCCGAGGGAGATTGACAGTTCTTTTGTGTTTCTTCCATTTGCGAATAATCACCCCAACTGTTGTCACCTTCTCACCAAGCTGCTTGGCAATGGTCTTGTAGCCCATTCCAGCCTTGTGTAGGTCTACAATCTTGTCCCTGACATCCTTGGAGAGCTCTTTGGTCTTGGCCATGGTGGAGAGTTTGGAATCTGATTGATTGATTGCTTCTGTGGACAGGTGTCTTTTATACAGGTAACAAGCTGAGATTAGGAGCACTCCCTTTAAGAGTGTGCTCCTAATCTTAGCTCGTTACCTGTATAAAAGACACCTGGGAGCCAGAAATCTTTCTGATTGAGAGGGGGTCAAATACTTATTTCCCTCATTAAAATGCAAATCAATTTATAACATTTTGAATGCGATTTTCTGGATTTTTGTTGTTATTCTGTCTCTCACTGTTCAAATAAACTTACCATTAAAATTATAGACTGATCATTTATTTGTCAGTGGGCAAACGTACAACATCAGCAGGGGATCAAATACTTTTTTCCTTCACTCTAAATGCTATGTAAAATATGGATATACAATTGTACATTCTTTTTCAAAGCACCACATCACGGACGGTTAATCGTGTTATGTGTAAACGGAGCCACTTTACAGTTTGGGCAGCGCGCATGCCAAGAGGACCATCTTGCTGCCAAGTTGTAATACAATGACAATCTTTAAACTCCATATTTTTTTTTATTGCTAAAATGACAAAAGTATCCTGTTCACACTGATATGCTCAGCTCGCACAGGAAGCCTCATTCCCTGATTGCAATGCTTGTCTTAAACCATGCGTTTACCGATGCCTGCACGTTGTCACTCGGGAGCTGCGCAGGAAGGGCCAAGTCACGTGGCAAAAACCGCACCGCCTTATCGTCCATGCCTGTAGATTGGCAGTTCAACAGCATTGATATAAGCAAGACCTGACTGCTGATGAGATACTGTATGTCGAAACAGGTGCAGAGTTTGCTTGTCTCGAAACAATACTGCTGAAATTATGCACTCCCAGAAGGCCATGCGGCTAATGGGTCGCCACGGTGGCGGGATGTTAACTACCTCGCCTGGTGAACAGGAGGTCGTATAGGTTTGATCCCGACCCTGACGCCTGTATATCTGGAGTTTCCATGTTCTCCCTGTGGTAATGTGGATTTTTCTCCGGGTCCTCTGTTTTTTTTCCCCTCCACATTTAGAAACATGCGTTTAGAGTATTTGGCTGCTATAAATTTCCACATGATAAGCCACTTTATTGAGCTATCATTTGTGCGCAGGTCGCTTTAGAAAAAGAGCTAAATAGCCCAGTGGGACTTAACCTGGGAAAATAAAAATTAATATTTGATAGGTTTATAGAGAGAAGGATATGTGGAGTCATATTGTCTGCTTATTTATTTTGTTCTTTATATTCTCCACAACGACGCTCATAATTACTTTGAGTTATCTTCACATTGAGCTGGTTTCACAGTTTGCTGACTGCACGCAGCCTGAACTTACCTCTCTTCGGGGCTTTGAATGCTTTCCAGTTTACTCTCGTGTGATGAGCGTCTTCTACTGCCCGCCCCTTCATGGTTTCTAACCGTCAGGCTGGAAAGGGAAAGGCTGCAGACTCAGTGTCCAACATTTTGGGTCATCACAATTTGGTGAATATTATTTGGTTATAAATTACACATTCAGGTTTTTAAATGTTTTGGTTTGTATTATCAGCTTTCAGCAATTTGTCATTAATCGTAACATCATGCATTAGTAAGTTTCCAGTTTTTTTTTAACAGTAGGATTTTTTTTAATCAGAAAGGGCAATTTATAGTCAAAAGCTGGAAAGCATTCAAAAATGTTCCGTTTGATCCTGGTGTTTTTACTTTTCACTGATTTTACGAACACACCTACAGTAATTACCACATATATAAATGCATACTGCAGTATAAGTATTCTTTAAAAAAGCACACTGCAGAAAATACATCTTTGATCAAATTGTAGCTCAATCGTAGCCTCAGGAGACAACAGCTAATGTAAACATCTTCAAAATAGATGGGACTATTTTCTTTCAATAATCGTTAATAAACTTCAATGCATATATACAAACCTCCACGTTCCTCCATATCATTTAGAATCAAACAAACGAGCACTGAGCAGTAATAAGTGTCATGCTTTGGGAATACATTATTTATTACACGTGTGTTAGGCTTCTTCAACGGTGGTGATGCAGAAGCAAGGCTTAATTGCAGGGTGATTATATTACTACAAACAAAAGGAAATGTTTTTTTTTTCCATTTTGCTATTTGCCTGTTTGCAACGCAAACCAAAAGACTGCAGCGAATTTTGTCCCCTGCAGCCTTTTAACAAAATATTTCATTCTCCGGCAGGTGTTTGACTCTGACCTTTTTAAGCAAGATGAGTCACAACTCCATAGCACAGTTTACATTCACAGCATGCTCTAAGGTGTGCAATATTTCTGGGGTGACTTCACCATTTTAAAACACTCCAGAAAGCATCGTAATCATTCCCTTATCATAGTGGTAATAATAATTATCCAATTTAGTTTTGTTGCTGCGAAATGGCGAAATGTGAAGAACGAGCACACGATGTAAAACTTAATTCGAGATATGATTGCAATGAGAACATCACATTTGCGTTTTTTTTTAGTATTAAACGGTTGCATCGAATGCACGAGTGTGAAAAATAAATGCACGAGTGTGAAAAATCAATTCCCGTGCAGCACTGGTTCCATCTAAGTCTTATCCCCATCTCCCACACCTCGGCTCGAAACAACAAGCATAGAGCCAATTCACCGACTTCCTGGGTGGGCAGAGTGATTCAAGTGTTGTACTTATATTTACCCAGCGGAGCCAAAAATAGTGCCACAATCTTTTAGCAGGAACTAAAATAAGCCACTTAAGATATACCACATTCCCTTCATTTGTGTTTGTGTTTCTAAATAATGTGCCAGCTTATAAACATGAAAATAATATTTACTGCAAGTAAGAACTATGTTTGGTTCTTAAAAATACACTTAAAAAAAAACATTCTGGGGTGTGGTTTACCATGCCTTTAAAACAAAGGAAATGGAAGCATGGAGATCAGAAAACAATTTGATGCATTATTTCTCCAAGGCCCTGGCCCAGGGGACACACGCGAGATGGTGAGCGGATGGGCGAGTGAGTGAGAGCATGAGTAATAAGGGGGTTGTGGGAAAGGCTTGAGTGCATTTCAGAAAGATGCTGGTGTCTGCTCTAAGTTTGTTAGTTTTCCAAATGTACACATATAGTGCTTTGTCCACTGCAAGATGAAAGCCTCCACACACTGTGGGAGTTGTTAAACCATAATTTATACTGGTCAGTGTGGATTGGTGAAGGTGGGGAGATCATATAAGTGGGACCATAGAAGTACAGTACAACAATTGATTATCTTGTACTGTTCTCTACTTCCCATAATGTAGTCCAGCAATCTATTCAATGTGTTATGCATGATCACTCATACAAGTACGATCCAGGCTTATGCCTGCATAGTTTCAGAGATCGGGTACATTCTGGGTGTTTGGTTTGAGGTTAATTGTCCACACAGTTGACTTATTTATGTACCCTAAGAATGTATACAAAAGTTACCATTTACACGTGGAATCTTATACCCCTTTCCACATCCAAGCTGAGACAGCACTGGACCCTTATGGTGCGCGTGGTTTTCTCCTCGTTATTTGCCGAGTCTTTTCAGAACAAAAGGGTGATGCGCTCGCCTTACAAGACATGAATCTGGACCGGGGTCAAGCTGGGCCAGGGTTAATGACGTGTTAATTTCGTTGCCGTTACAGCATGGCCATGGCTTGTGCATTGGAATATCAACCTTGTGCCTGCCGAGCTGTGCCAGGCTAGCTCGGCATGGCCCCAGCGAGGATCGGTTGTACGGAGGAAAAGAGGTATCCTAATTCACATCAAGTGCTTGTGTTAAATAAGAGCAGACGGCAGCCTCCCAAAACTCAGGATGGTGGTGCTGGTGAGTGGGATAGTGAACAGACTTTGTAAGGGATGGAAGTGTGAGTGGGGATGGACGTGTGAGTGGGGATGGACGTGTGAGTGGGATGGAGAGGTTGGGTGTTTTGGGGGGGGGGGGGGAGGGTAGTTACCTGTCACGCAGGCGGCGGATTTCGTACCAAAGAGACTGGAGGACGTACCATGAGCAGCTGCAGCAGCAGCACCAGCAGAAGCAGCAGGCGTTGGGCGCACGCGGGCCTGGGGAACGCACTCCCCCAGGCGAGCCGTCGCCTTGGGAGGGCGGCCACCGCCGTGATTCCACCCGCTCCGAGCCCATCGCCTGCGTCCGGTGGGGAAGGACGGCTTTTAGTAATTGTCACGGCAGCAGTTGGCGCCGCCAGGCCTAAGCGAATCAAGAAAAAGCTTAGGGTCACCAAGCGGTTTGAGGGGTCCTGGATTCGTGATAAAAGGAGTGCGTTAGATATAATCTCAAATGCAAAAATCACAAGGCAACAATGTAAGTTACAGAATGAGACAATATTTCTCATCTTTATCTTGCTGTCATCTCTCTTATCTGTATTTGTCTACATTTCTCTTAATTCACTGGATCCACAGCATATGTCTTGCCTGTACCTCTTTTGTAATTTCACTAGTATTTAAAAAAATTCAAGGAGGCAACACAAATAATTCCTGCTTAGGGCCCCCAATGACCCAGAACCACCTCTGATGGTCAGGCAGCCGATCTGACTTTCAAGGCGAGTGCTTTTCACATCTCCTTTCTCACCCATCTAGCGATGACGATCCCACAGCACACCCTCACATTTCATGTTATAAGTAAACAAGTAAGCGGGGCAGAGAGTGGATAGAATGTCTCAACATCCCTGTGTGTGGCATTTGCCCAGGTGCATGGCCTGTCAAGAGGCCTTCTGTGGTTCCACAACCCAGGGTGTGCAGAGGGCTTCTGTAGTGTCACTCGGCAATGTCAGCAGGACCGCTGTTGTATTTCTACCAAGCGCCGCCCATTCAACAGGTGACTTGGCTACGTTTTAACAACACGACACAATACAAGCCGTATTCATCTACCTTGATCTCAAGCCGAGCATAACTCCATTACGTTGAAAGTTATAATGAAATTCTCCACACACTGCGGGCTGCATGTGAGTAGAGGCAACCTACTTGCAACCAACCCCAGCATGTAATATTAACACGAACAGTAATGTAAATTAGCTTACTGTTTTTGGCTGCAACATGAGTTATTAATTCCAGCCATTCTAAATCCACTAAAGGATGAAGGCCTTGGTCTTGGGGGTTCCTTGACCATGCTTTAACCTACTGGCTTGTGCGGGTTGGTGAAGGTGGGGCCACCCAGGGCCAGTTGAGGTATCACTCTCCACTGATGTTAGCCATTAACTTGGAATCAAACTCAGGTGATCGGCCGGGTTCACAGTTCAATACGCCAACCACTCTGCCACGACTCAATCTCCTTTCAAATTATACAATGTTTCAAAACCGTGCAAAATAAAACCCTGAAGAAACCCAAACCTCCATCGAACAGCCATTACCTTAGTATACACTGAACGAGGCCATGCCATTTTGCCAATGTGTTCGTGTAACATGAGCTGTGCTTTTGCGTGTCATTCGTCAGAGTTAACATGCTCCATTAATGTAACATGCATTTCCACTTGATCTTGTTTCTGGAGACGGATAATATCAAAACGCTCTTTTATTAAATAACTGCACTGACACTATATGTCACTTCTGCCTGTTACAGAAATCACTGGCTCCCCTTACACAGCAGAGTACGACACCAGAAAAGCGTGGAAACACAATCTGCGGCAAACTAATGCAGTGGCGTAATGCACTCTTACACGATTACACATGGACTGTGAGGTTTACATACACTGCAGATAATCTATACAGCAGAACACTCACATGCATACCCTAAAACATGTTTTGTCACTCTGTAATTTCCCACTGCTGAGCAGAGGCCCTCCTGTACATCCCTCACCCTGCCACCCATTGGCTTCCATTCCCATCCTCCTATCCAGTCGTGGGCCTCAGAATAACAGCCACGCTATCGTTTAGATGGGAGTGGGGTTTTTTTTGTGGTTCTTGCCAATAACATCTGGCAAACCAACAGCATTGTTGAACGAGCCGTAGGTCTGCTGATGAGACCCGGAAGGTCAAAACCGGTCCAGAGTTGTTGTTTGTTTTTTCTGGCTTATAAAATAAATCCTCACGCTGGACATTTGTTTGGAAAGCCAACGAAACAGGCCGACGGACACAACGAACGCCTGATTTATACGCGGAGACAGAAAGGACTTCTGCTCAGACACGATGTTATCTATAATGCTTCACGGAAAAGCATAACGAGTTACATCAAAAATAAAGATTGCAGGTGAACATGACACAGTGGGGTGTAAGGGCCAATGCAGCAGTGCGTCTCTTGCCATGCAGTGAACCCCGTGGGGTAGTATATGGTCATCACATGCCCTATGTGTCACAACACTAGAACTCGATGTTGTATATGAATTGGAGTGTATTGTACTGTATTGTACGCAGTACATCGCAAAAAAAATGACGGTACGTATTTATGTATTCAATATAGTACAATTGTTTAATGTGTATACAATGTGATGCTGTACTACAATGTAGTATAGTGCGGTAATGTATTGTATTACAGTGTACTATATCAAACAACTATATTGTGTAAATGCAGTCCTCAGTACTGTTGATATTGTAACGGTATACATTGCACACTGTTGTACATAGCGGACTCGGGACAGGCTTGGGAAGAAGCACTTCACCCAGCAGTGGATTGAGCTTGGCCGATACAGTATACAATGTAATACACCACTATTTACACGTACAGCATGCTAAAACACACAGAACATGAACCACACTACAGCCTACACACACAGAACACGAACCACACTACAGTCTATACACACAGAACACGAACCACACTACAGTCTATACACACAGAACACGAACCACACTACAGTCTATACACACAGAACACGAACCACACTACAGTCTATACACACAGAACACGAACCACACTACAGTGTACACACAGAACACGAACCACACTGCAGTCTGTACACACAGAACACGAACCACACTACAGTCTACACACAGAACACGAACCACACTACAGTCTGTACACACAGAACACGAACCACACTACAGTCTATACACACAGAACACGAACCACACTACAGTCTGTACACACAGAACACGAACCACACTACAGTCTGTACACACAGAACACGAACCACACTACAGTCTACACACACAGAACACGAACCACACTACAGCCTATACACACAGAACACGAACCACACTACAGTCTACACACACAGAACACGAACCACACTACAGTCTATACACACAGAACACGAACCACACTTCAGTCTGTACACACAGAAGACGAACCACACTACAGCCTATACACACAGAACACGAACTACACTACAGTCTATACACACAGAACACGAACCACACTACAGTCTGTACACAGAACACGAACCACACTACAGCCTACACACACAGAACACGAACCACACTACAGTCTGTACACACAGAACACGAACCACACTACAGCCTATACACACAGAACACGAACCACACTACAGTCTGTACACAGAACACGAACCACACTACAGTCTATACACACAGAACACGAACCACACTACAGTCTGTACACACAGAACACGAACCACACTACAGTCTGTACACACAGAACATGAACCCCACTACAGTCTACACACACAGAACACGAACCACACTACAGCCTATACACAGAACACGAACCACACTACAGTCTGTACACACAGAAGACGAACCACACTACAGTCTATACACACAGAACACGAACCACACTACAGTCTACACACACAGAACACGAACCACACTACAGTCTATACACACAGAACACGAACCACACTACAGTCTGTACACACAGAAGACGAACCACACTACAGCCTATACACACAGAACACGAACTACACTACAGTCTATACACACAGAACACGAACCACACTACAGTCTGTACACACAGAACACGAACCACACTACAGTCTACACACACAGAAGACGAACCACACTACAGCCTATACACACAGAAGACGAACCACACTACAGCCTATACACACAGAACACAAACCACACTACAGTCTACACACACAGAACACGAACCACACTACAGTCTATACACACAGAGCACGAACCACACTACAGTCTACACACACAGAAGACGAACCACACTACAGCCTATACACACAGAACACGAACTACACTACAGTCTATACACACAGAACACGAACCACACTACAGTCTATACACACAGAACACGAACCACACTACAGTCTGTACACAGAACACGAACCACACTACAGTCTGTACACACAGAACACGAACCACACTACAGTCTATACACACAGAACACGAACCACACTACAGTCTATACACACAGAACACGAACCACACTGCAGTCTGTACACACAGAACATGAACCACACTACAGCCTATACACACAGAACACGAACCACACTACAGTTTGTACACACAGAACACGAACCACACTACAGCCTATACACACAGAACACGAACCACACTACAGCCTACACACACAGAACACGAACCACACTACAGTCTATACACACAGAACACGAACCACACTACAGTCTGTACACACAGAACACGAACCACACTACAGTCTACACACACAGAACACGAACCACACTACAGCCTCTACACACAGAACACGAACCACACTACAGTCTGTACACACAGAACACGAACTACACTACAGTCTACACACACAGAACACGAACCACACTACAGCCTATACACACAGAACACGAACCACACTACAGTCTGTACACACAGAACACGAACCACACTACAGCCTATACACACAGAACACGAACCACACTACAGCCTACACACACAGAACACGAACCACACTACAGTCTATACACACAGAACACGAACCATACTACAGTCTGTACACACAGAACACGAACCACACTACAGTCTACACACACAGAACACGAACCACACTACAGCCTATACACACAACACGAACCACACTACAGTCTGTACACACAGAACACGAACCACACTACAGTCTACACACACAGAACACGAACCACACTACAGCCTATACACACAGAACACGAACCACACTACAGTCTATACACACAGAACACGAACCACACTACAGTCTGTACACACAGAACACGAACTACACTACAGTCTACACACACAGAACACGAACCACACTACAGTCTGTACACACAGAACACGAACCACACTACAGTCTGTACACACAGA